CAATATAATTGGACCTGTTCTGGCATCTCGTCTACAGTCGCTCTCTCACAGACGTGCCGTCGCCTACCTCTGTCTGTTCTACAAATACTTTCATAGCAATTGCTCCGAGGAGCTGCATTCGCTGGTTCCCAGACTTCATGAGTTCAAGCGCCCCACGAGGCTGGCATCCCGCTCTCACCCTTTCACTGTCGAAACTATTAAATGTAACCGTCCAATAGCTTCATATCTCGCACCTCTCGCCTGAGGAACTCCATTCCCTATTCCAGTTTCCCTGAGAGCTATAATCTCCAGCTATTCAAAGGTAATGTCAATCGACATCTCTAGTTACCTTGATCTATCCTTCTCCCCATCCTTAGGATGCATCCTTCGGTCGAGGAAGATTAGTTACATTATTTCATTACTCGATGTTGTTCTGGTCAGGATTTGGTAACATCAATTTGGATTCTACTTTATTATAGAATTCTAATCTTGCATGTTCGTCTTTTAGGGCTTCGATGTTAATCTTACGTGAAGGACGTGGTTTATGTGAACAGGAAGTGGACTATTTATTTTGCTGGTTGGTGTTATAAATTTTATCAAGAAAGTCTGTAATCAAATTCAAAAATTATAAACTTTGGCGGTTGTGATAAATTGTCTAAGCCAAGAGTCAAACCATCTATTTAGAGTAGAGTATCTTTTTGAGTAACAAAAGGTTAACAAGAGCTCCCCATTTTTGTTTGAAGCGTCTTTAAGGAGTAAGTTCCACTCGGACAGCTTCTTCCCAAGAACTGCTACTTTATGGAACAGACTCCCAGTTTCCCCAGTCACTACACTCTTGACCTCTTGAAGTCTAGCTTTAACCATTATTTTTTCTGTATAACCGTATGAACTTCACTTCTTGCCTTTTCTTCCGCTCATAAAACATCACCTAGTAACCGTCTACCTTGAGTGGCTGATAGGCCTTGTATTGGGTGAACATTAATATATATATATATATATATATATATATATATATATATAAGTGTAAATGGATAAAATCCGACAGAATGTAAAAATTTTGAAAAACAAACAAAAAATCCATAAATGTAGTTAAAATTTTAACTACATTTATGGATTTTTGTTTGTTTTTCAAAATTTCTACATATATATATATATATATATATATAAATTGCCTAAACCAATTGTCAAAGTCAATAATTGTTTTGGTTACTCCATTTGAGCTATGACATGTGATTCGATCTTTCATGGGATGGTCAAATATTTAGTATTTAGGATGGAGTTACTTTTTAACCAACAAATGGATAACAAGAGCTCGCCATTATTGTTTAACGCTTCTGTTTCAAAGAATGATGTCTCCTTCCTATCAAAGGTTCAGTGGTATTAGGTTGGTGCAAAAATAATGACGTAATAATGTCGTTTTTTGACCGTTATACGTCAAAAAACGACATTATTACGTCATTATTACGTCAGCAGTGTATATTCTTTTTTAATTTTATAACTAGGAACAAAAATCCTTTCATTTTTTTTTTTGTCAACACTTGCAACGCTAATCCTTACGAGAAAACTAAATTAAATATATAATTTTAAATAATCTGAGAGACCGCTCTCTAACTTCCATTAGCATTCAGGAGAGTGACTCGTTGTGCCTTCTAGGGCTAAGGTTCTCAGGTGACATGAAGTGGAAAGTGTTTTATTGAATCCATTGCTAAGGTCAGCCACTATGAAAGTTAATTCATTGTGTCGTACGAGACAATTTCTCTCTCCAGAATGTATCTTACATATCTATAAGTCTATTATTCGTCCATGCTTAGAATATTGCTGCCACATATGGTCTGGTGTTCCTGCCATATATCCAGAGATCCTTAATAAACCCCAACGAAGAATCAGCTGTATTATTGGTCCTTATCTGGCAGCGCGGCTTCAGTCACTTTCTCACCGCAGTAAGGTTACCTTTGATTAAATACTTTCATGGTAAGCGTTTGGATGAGCTCTTTGCTATGGTACCTAGAGTTTTTGAATTTAAGCGCAGTTAGACGGGTGTCGAGTTCTCAACAATTTACAGTTGAGCTGGCTAGATAGAACCCTAAGTTCTATGATAAGAGTTCCTTTCTCGCACTTCTCACTCATGGAATACCTTTCCAGTCCTTAGCAAAAATTTAAATGCATTGTTAATTGCTATCTACTGTCTTCCTGATTACTCTTTTCTCTTCCCGCTCATCAGTAATGTTTCTGTTTCTAAATCTTTCACATCCAGTAACCGTTTGTGTCTTAGTGGCTTTAATGTCTTACTTGGAGTTAAACCAATTATAAAATGGTTAAGTTTGCCTTCGTTCGTCTTTTTTTTTACGGTAGTAGGTTTATTTGTAACCTTCCTTTTGGGCTTTAGTTTACGACAGAATTCTATTTTTTCATTTTCATATGAGAACAGAAGTCGACTATTTTGTTTGCTGGTGCTGGTGTTTTATCACGCATTTGTAAGATTGTGATCAGATTCAAACTGTACGTTATACATTCTGACATCTGTGACAAATTGCATAAGCCAAGAGTTCGTGACGCTGAATGCAATAATTGTTTTGGTTATTCCATTCAACCTAAGCCATATGATTCGATGGTTCAAGAGGTGGTCAAACCATATATTTAGGATGGCGTTACTTTAGGGGCAAGTAAAGGTTGATAAGAGCTCCACATTGTCGCTTGAGGTTTTTGTTTCCTCTTTCCATAAAACGGGCTGTAGTGTTCAAAAAACATTGGAGGCGGGATTATATAGCAGTAGCTGACCACTCGTATCCGAGCATGCTTGTCTACAAGGGCGGCTAGACAATCCCTGTTACAGACGCCTGCTCAGGTACGTTTATGTTTGTTCAGCACCCAAAGAGCTCACCTGGTTTATACTGAAACTATGCTGAACGGATCTAAGTTACAGTTTCTGGCTGAGAGTGTACTACCTGGGGGGGGGATCAACAGTTTGAACAAGGCCAGCACGCTCAGACCCTCGGTCACGATGGCTTGTGTCTTCGTGCTAGCATAAACTTCAAAACAGTGTTTATTATTGTTGCTGTCTATTCACCCCCCCCCAAAAAAAAGAAAATGTATAAATTCACTTTCATAGGCTTAGGTTTTATTCCCATTCTAATCATCGCTTTTTAAAACAATATACTTTGCCGACGACTGAAGGTGGTTAAAATAAAAACGGCGTCATGGTAAAGCGTTCCTTTTGCCACTCCATTTTATTTCGGGCATGTTTATACATGTTTGCCAAATGTTCTTTGCTCGTTATGTTCAATGAAATATGTATAAGTGAAGGTTTGCTGCCAAACTATAAAATAGATATCTTCCGTAATGTTAATGACTGTGTAACACTGAGAAGAAGTATTGGGTTATTGTACATTTTACGAGAGAGAGAGAGAGAGAGAGAGAGAGAGAGAGAGAGAGAGAGAGAGAGAGAGAGAGAGAGATCTTCTTTGTGAGTGAAATTGAGAGTTTCTTTCTTTTTGTAGGGGCTGCCTAAGGAGTATTGAGTTATTGTACATTTTTAAGAGAGAGGGAGGTGGAGAGAGAGAGGGAGCATGTGCTCAAGTATGTGAGTGAAATTGAAATTTTCTTTCTTTTTTAGGGGGGGGCGTAAGATTGTGAAGTTGAGAGCTTCTCTCTTTCTTTTGTTGGGGCGAAGCGTAAGATAGAGCGAAATCATTTCCGACTAGACTTGTCTTCTAGGGCGGCTAGTCAGTCCCTGTTACAGACGCCTGCTCAGGTACGTATGTTTTTGTTCAGTACGCACATAGCTCACCTGGTTTATACTGAAACTATCCTGAGCGGACCATAGTTATAATTTCTGGCTGAGAGCATACTATTTGGCGGGATCAACAGTTTGAACAAGGTCAGTACGCTCAAACACTCGGTCACGATGACTTGTCACCCAAATAATTCCATCAACCCATTTTCAATGTGAAAAGCTTGGGTCAACCAGCAGTACATTTTTCATGCACTTTCTAAAACCAGCACACGCTGGGATTGCCTCCGCAGGAAGATAACATTAAGAAGTCACCTTCCTGATTAATCGACCATAGCAAGATTCGAACACAGATCTCATGGTCGGAAAGCGAATATTAAACCACTAGGATGGAGTTACTTTTGAGGCAATGAAACGTTGATAGGAGCTCCACATTGTCGCTTGAGCTTTCTGTTTCCTCTTTCCTTAAAACGAGCTGTAGTGTTCAAAAAACATTGGAGGCGAGATTATATAGCAGTAACTGACCACTCGTATCCGAGCATGCTTCTCCACAAGGGCGGCTAGCCAATCCCTGTTACAGACCCCTGCTCAGGTACGTTTGTGTTTGTTCAACACCCACAGAAAGCGAACGTTAAACCACTAGGATTTGAAGAAATCATTAATGCATATTTTTCTGGGTTTCTGTAACAAAAATTTTAGTTAACCCTTTATAGAAGTATTTTCGATTGGCTGCTCGGTCAATAAATGCCGAATGTTTCCTTATAAGGCGACGGCTAATGTCAGCAACGCCATTATTAATCTCGCTGTTACGGTAGCAGAGATTGATATTTGTGGCAAACTAAGCTTGAAAACTTAGTGCCATATCAGTGACAATCTTCAACCTCTTGACGATAAAAAAAGAACGAAATATTGGTGACACGTCTCTCGAAGAATTCGAATAGTATCAGTATTTAATATGCAGGGCACAAGCGTTTTACAATTTTTCTCTTTACTTTTGAAAATAAAAAAAAATTGTTTGTTTCTGTAGAGGGCATGCGTGATTAAATTGCTAACTTCTGTGGATTTAATTTCTTTTCTGGTTTCATTTTTGTTTTTGCTTCCAGCATATTTATTTTAACATTATCAATTTGTTTCATCCGGTTTTCTCTACTTTTTTTTAAAATTCTTTCTTTGTTTTCTTTCTTTTTTTTTTTTCATCGGGTTTATTCCAATCTTTCTTTCTTTCTTTTTATCTTTCTTTCTTTCTTTCTTTTTCCACCTTTCCGTAATAAACTTATTCTCCTGTACTTTAATGACATTCAGTTCTTTCTTTCTTTCTTTCTTTCTTTCTTTCTTTCTTTCTTTCTATCTTTCTTTCTTTCTAATTTTATTTCCCAACCTTTTTTCCTTTCCTCAAGTTTTTCAATCTCTCCTTTCTTTCTTTCTTTCTTTCTTTCTTTCTTTCTTTCTTTCTTTCTTTCTTTCTTTCTTTAATCTTTCTTTCTTTCTATCTTTCTTTCTTTCTAATTTTATTTCCCAACCTTTTTTTCCTTTCCTCAAGTTTTTCAATCTCTCCTTTCTTTCTTTCTTTCTTTCTTTCTTTCTTTCTTTCTTTCTTTCTTTCTTTCTTTCATTCATTCTTTCTTTCTTTCTTTCTTTCTTCAAAGTTTTATTTTCAGACTTTTCTTTCTTTCTTTCTTTAATCTTTCTTTCTTTCTTTCTTTCTTTCTAATTTTATTTCCCAACCTTTTCTTCCTTTCTTCAAGTTTTTCAATCTCTTTCTTTCTTTCTTTCTTTCTTTCTTTCTTTCTTTTTTTTCACCTTTCCGTAATAAACTTATTCTCCTGTACTTTAATGACATTCAGTTCTTTCTTTCTTTCTTTCTTTCTTTCTTTCTTTCTTTCTTTCTTTCTTTCTTTCATCTTTCTTTCTTTCTTTCTTTCTTTTGTTTGTTTGTTTCTTTTCTTTTGTTTGTTTGTTTGTTTGTTTGTTTCTTTCTTTCTTTCTTTCTTTCTTTCTTTCTTTCTTTTCCCACCTTTCCGTAATAAACTTATTCTCCTGTACTTTAATGACATTCAGTTCTTTCTTTCTTTCTTTCTTTCTTTCTTTCTTTCTTTCTTTCTTTCATCTTTCTTTCTTTCTTTCTTTCTTTCTTTTGTTTGTTTGTTTCTTTTCTTTTGTTTGTTTGTTTGTTTGTTTGTTTGTTTGTTTGTTTCTTTCTTTCTTTCTTTCTTTCTTTCAATCTATTTCACGGTAGCCAAAAAAAGAACATCAGTCTTTATTTGCTAAGCCGGTGATATTTAGCTTCCCAACATTCCTCTAAATATGCTAAAAGTCGGTTGTTGAAGCGATTGCAGCACTCAGCATCCAGTCTCTTCCAATCCTATTCACGTGTTTTGCCATTTTGTCTCCGAGCGTGACGATCTCAGCGCCGAAATGTCAACTCAAATTTCTTCCATGTCATTTGTACAAACCTTCCTTCAGCTTTCTATCGATTTCGCCCACATTCGACAATTTGCATGGATTTTGTGTCACGCGTATTTCTCATCTGGCACGTTTCCATTTTTTCTTTCTTTCTTTCTTTCTTATTTTCCATCTATCTATCTATCTACATCTCTCTCTCTATATATATATATATATATATATATGTGTGTGTGTGTGTGTGTGTGTGTGTGTGTGTGTGTGTGTGTGTGTGTGTGTGTGTGTGTGAAAATGTATAGAAAATAGGAAAGGACTCGTTAGGTAAATAATCCAAAGTTCTTTAGTATTTTTGTTATTATTTTAAAAAAATAGTGCCCGATACAAAAGTAGAGCCTAAATATAATTATTTATTTAAAAATATGATTCCAACGCTACATAAGAGTTCTCATGTTTCAAAACAAGAGCCGAAAACTTCAATATAATTATTTGAATTAAACTGAATTAAAGTACGATATATATATATATATATATATATATATATATATGTGTGTGTGTGTGTGTGTGTGTGTGTGTGTGTGTGTGTGTGTGTGTGTGTGTATTATTTCAGTATATGTCAATCTAGGTGAGTCCTGTAATATATAATGTAATATTATGTATTTGTAACTTTCTCTCTCATTCAACTGGTCTTTCTTATTTATTTTGTCTTCTTCCCAGTCTGTTTTCTACGTCTCTGCCTCTGTTTCTGTCTCCATATCTATCTATCTATCTATCTATCTATCTATCTATCTATCTCTATCTATCTCTCTATCTATCTACAACCGTTTAAATATATATATATATATATATATATATATATATATATATATATATATATATATAAATATAAAACCGTTTAAATGTGTCAATGTCTGGACCTCCTCAAGTAATTTTAAGTATAAAAGAATATAAATTTTAAATTACATCTAACTCACTCATATCTTCTTCCCCCCTCCTCACTTTCTCACTTCGTTAATTTACATATGCTTAATACGGCCCGTCAAAAATGTGTAAATTTCTTTACATTTTTTGTTTCAACCTTTGGAAGTAAAGTGTGATGATCCGCAGGCCTTTAAAAAGGGCTGTGGTGAAATAATTTATTAGATGGAACCTTAAAGTGGTCTGTTTTTATTTAAATTATTTGCTATGGATTTACATTGAGCTCACTGGATTTTATCCTCCTTAGGTTTACCCATACGGATTACCTAGTTTTTCATAAACTAAATTTATATATATATATATATATATATATATATATATTATTGCTCCCCTGTCTTGTGCTGCTGCCTTGTATTCAGAGATTTTTGATAAAATCCAAATAAGAATCAGCAATGCTAGCGGTCCTAACCTGACATATCGGCTTCAATCACCTTCCCACCATGGTACTTGAGTGAAAGGAACAGCAACACGGTCATAGATGAATCAAAGAGAGGTTTATTGTAAAAGAGAATACGCAGCTGAAAGACAGGGAATCGGGTGGCAGGCTAGTAATTCTCGAATCAAGTGTATCTACCAATCGCCAACGCAGTCAGATGTGGCACAAGGCCGAATTTAATGTGGGGTATCTGAGCCCATAGTCTCGGCCAAAAATTCTCCGTATAAAACGGGGTTGGGTAGATGTTTCCCGATACGAGACTTTCCCCTTCGTCGTAGCCTCGTTTGACCAGCACAGCTAGAGACGAATCTCCAACTCTAGACTAATTCTCGAGGCAAGAGGAGTTATTGTATAAAGTATACAATTTTGGCACAAGGTCTAAAGGAGGGAATAGGTAAAGGCTGTTCGTCACTTACTATCCTATAGCTAGCTAATCCGATTCACGGCTCAATCATTCGTTACAATTGGCACATTTGCCACGAGAACTCATCCATCACCAAGCAATCCTCCATATACCATAATACCGCATATTCTCAGGGGGACCTAAAAAAAACGCTCCCCATGACATAAAAAAATTTCATGATTATAAAATATAATAGATAAAAATTTGTACATGATGAACAGTGAACGGGGAGAGGATGAACCCAAAAGCAAACTAAAATATCAAAACAAACAAAATAAAGATAACTGATGTCAGTTGGACCCGTCTAAATCTCAAAACGAGACCGCTGTATTGTACCCTTGGACACTTGACGCACTCTCGCTAAGAGAGAGGGAAAGAATAAATACGGCCTTGGGGAAAGAAGAAATCTGACCCAATCGAAATGAAAAAAATGGGAACAAAACAAACTGGGGAGGTTGTGAATCTCAATTTGGATCATAACCAAAGAAGCAGCCGGGGACAGACCGGGAACTATATTTACTCATGTTAAATAGATGCACAAAGCTTGTCTAGCATAACCAGGGAAGTGATCCACAAGAAACCGCCCCGAAGCTACTTAGGTAGACATAAAAAAGAAAATCAAGGCTAGCCCCGTTCACACGAACCAGGCTTGCCTCAGTCACCCACCTTTTGCTGAAATCTGTCAAAATCAACCGCTTTCTATCAGTTCTAGTCTTCATCTTGAGCTGATGCTCAAAGAATCGGATTAGATCTTAATGAGAAAGACGATCACCCCGTAAGACTTCCTGCAATCGCATCGCCGAAATCACCATTTGGACCATGGCCAGCAACGATAGAAACACCATTCGATTCACCCCAGAATACGGGGGCGACACATTGTCACACGCGTACGCGCGATCAATAAGCACGAGCTTTTCGGGAGCGATACGAGCCGTCAACTCGCCGACATGGTCCCATAAATGGCGGACCCGAGGAAAATGGTAGAAGTCATCCGAAGCCGTATCTTCTAAGCCTAGGTCACATCGTTCACAGTCTGGCAAATCCGCCAAACCCCATATGAAGGCCTTGTTATTTAGAGATAGCCTATTCCTAACCAGTCGCCAGGTAAGCGAAAACTCAGGGTTGCTGAAGTAATCCGCCGCTGGCGCCCAAGACCAGACGGAGCGAAACATCTTCTCTGACAAGTCGCGCTGATCACCTAGTGGATCTTTTGCGCCCCTCTCCACTAGTTCCCGATAGAAGACTTTCCTAGGCCGAGAAAGGTCACTGGACGGATTTATCACCCTCAAGGCTGATCGACATTCGCGAAGGAAATCCGACTGATCCCTGGATTTACGACGGCGCTCAACCCGCGTGATGGGAGGACTGATAGCAAGGAAAGAGAAGGTGTCCTTACAATACCCGCCAGAATTGAATCACACACACACACACACACACACACACACACACACACACACATATATATATATATATATATATATATATATGCAAACATGACAGAATTGAATAGACGCTTACAGAAACCGTTTATTTTATTAAACAAGTAATTGATACAAATGAAGTAATTATAAATGGTCATAAATTTAATAACTAATACTTGGTTGACATCCCTTTTGCTTTTTTTTATGCAAGGACCCTTCTAGGCATGCTAGCGATGAGTTCATGAATATCATCTTGAGGGATTTCTTGCCATGTTTGACGCAATAATCCTAAAAGTTTGGGCTTAGCAGAGTTTTAGATCTAATATGCCCCAAAGGTGTTCAATGGGATTAATATCTGGGGAATGACTTGGCCATGGAAGTTTATTGATCCCATTTTGTCTCAACCAATGTTGCGTTGCTTGAGCAGTGTGACATGGAGCTCCATCTTCCATAAATAGGGAGTCAACTTTGCCCATTCTACTACTTGAGAATATTGGAAAGAGCCCTTTCTTTAATATAGAAACATATTTGGTTGAATTAATGTTTCCTTCACACTCCACAAGCTCTGAGCGACCATCATTCCAAATTGCACTCCATACCATTACTGAAAGGCCCCCATGTTTCACCGTTGGCTGCAGTCTTTTCAAATCAAACTCTTGAATACAGAGTCTCTATACCCATACTCTTCCACTGTCGGAAAATAATGCGAATCTTGATTCATCAGAGAAAATGACAGTGGTCCAAAAGGTCACAGGTCTCTCCACCATCTCATGAGCCCAATCCTTTCTGCGTTTGATATTGGCTGGACGGAGAAGTGGTTTCCTTCTCGCAGCTCTGCCATAGTAGTCCAGCTTGTGAAGATACCTGACAGCTGTTCTGGGACTGACATCAACTTGTGTTGCTATGTCAGAGGCCTTGCAACATGGATCCTGTTCAACATTTTTTTCGACAAGACGCATGGTTCTTTCAGATGGCCCATGGCGGCCTGGATGAGGTTTTGTGCACCTCTCTGGTGAATTGTAAGATCACTCTATTAACAGTAGAAAGGGGTATTGAACGATATTCAGATATTTTTCTTTGACTAAGACCATCTTCATGTTGGCCCACGATACGTCCTCGCTGAAATTCGGAGGGGGTCTGATTCTCCTTTGGTTCGGGGCATGTTCCAATATTGTTATCTGCAATTTTAATCAAATAATCTAAGTTAATTTATCTTGGTTATTAAAAAAAAATCAGAAATAAAATTTATCTTGGTGTCTATTCAATTCTGTCATGTCTGTATATATATATATATATATATATATATATATATATATATATATATATATATATATATATATATACAGGGTGTCCATAAAGTTAGTGTGCACTTTAAAAAATTATAACTTTATTTGTATTTGCAATACAAATAATCTGTAAAAAATGTTATGAAGTTTAATCTACCTAGTTTTAAGTATAGCTAAAATAACTCATGTGATTTCAGGCATTACTGTAAATCAGTTGGCAAATGTTTTCCGTGAACTGCAAAATCGTATATTACCCTTTGTATTGCTAATAATGGAGGACATGTGGAAACTTAAATAAAATTTCAATAAAACCTTAAAAAATATATAGATTTACTTCTTTCTAAACCTTTTTACAAATTATTTCTATCGCAAATACAAATAAAGTTATGAATTTTTAAAGTGCACACGAACCTTATGGACACCCTATATATATATATATATATATATATATATATATATATATATATATATATATATTGTCACGTAGCAACGATTTCATTAACCATATAGGCGTTAGGCTAAAGTAAAATCTTAAATAAAGAGAAAATTAGTTAGATATAAAAGAAAGATAAATAAATAGATAAAAACAGAAATTTAATCAATGCTTCCGATTCGCGAGCGAATATATTCTATGATCAGCCATACCCCCTCTTCTCTTTCACAAATTCTTTCTCTCCCTATCCTCTCTTCCACCCGCCAGACAAGGGCCCGTGAACTTAGAAGTGACCCGACGCGAGGATGACCTGGTTCTAAGATTTCGCGTTTGACCATGAGTAAACTCCAGACACCATCAGGGTCTCATGCTGCGATTCACGTGATCGGGACGTACGGGGCATGCGTTGAACTTTTGGCCATCACACAAACACTGCGTGATTTGCGCCCCTATTCTCCTGCGTACCCGGTCAAGGACGAAGGAACCCACGTGACTGTCTGTGGGGACAGCGAAAAAACCAAAGAAGGATTTTTTCAGTTTCCCTCTGACCAGCGGCAGTTGAACATCGCTGGCCAAAAATCGTCAGACCGCCCACTGAGATGAGGAAGACCACGAAGTCTATCGACCAGTGATTGAAAGGGTGCTATTGACTGATCAACCCAACCAAATGCCTGTATGAAATGCTGGGGACCCACGAACACTTGCGAAAAGAAGAAGAATCCAGGAACATTGTCGGCCGGCCAAGATACTGATTTATCATCAGAACTCTCGCTTCGGTGAATCAAAACTTTGTGAAGATACCAGCCCGACTGCAAGATAAGTTGGTTCTTTTGGCTCGATCTATTTTCATATATGTATGTATTCGC